TGTTTTATTTTATGTTATACCTGATCTTATGGGGTGCGTTACAACACACCTGCGCAAAATTATTAAATCCTAATTTAAAAATAATTAAAAAAAAACTTTATATAAAACAGAATAACAATATTTTTAAAAAATCTACTAGAAATAAAATATTGCTATTATTTATCTAGCAATTCTAATAGATATAATAATATAAATACAACCAAAATTAAGATATATATTCATCTTTTATATAACCAAACACCCATATAGCTAGAAGAAAAAAATAGTTTAAATAAAAATATTATACAAAAATATGAATACTAAACCATATAATTATTTTACCATAATTAAAATTACAACTCAATACTATATTTTATATAATAAAACTATAATACTTTATTAAGTATAAATATAAAAAAGAATAAAACCTAAATTCAGAAGATGAAATACAATTCAAACAACAAAATCTATAACAATTAACTAAAAATGAAATAGAAATCTTTTTAATAAATCATTTAAAGAACTAATACTGCAAGATATATATCTTGCAAAACAATAGAAAGCTAATATGCATAATAAAATAAACTGATTAAAAAATATATATAAATGAACAGAGCAAAAAATAAAAAATATTTACAATAGTGATATAATGTAATTTTCATCCAACACAATAATTTCAAATATTTTAACTCTTAGGAAGCGTACTAATATTACAGCAAACACCTACTGCATATAATCTTATAAAAAAACAATTCAAAATTTAAATTGTATAATATGAAAATAATACTCGAAACAATCAAAATTAGGGATGAGTCTGGTCCATTAATTTTTTTGGTCCGGTCTCGGTCCCAAAAGCAGTCTCAACATCTAACTATCTTATTGGCTAGCAAAAAGGATTAAATCATATAATATCAGTAATTAAAATAAGTGATTGTTTAAATAATTTTTGGTATTTTTAATTAGCTATTTATGAAAACTGGTCACAGGATCAGGGACCGGCTAATCATGAGACTAGTTAAAAAGACCAGTTCTTACTCAGTCTTTCCAGGAGTGATCTATCCCTAATCCAAATATAATCTGTAACACACTTTATTACAGGGATCGTAAATGACCTTAAATGATCTTCAAATTACTGGTCATTTTTGGTCATTTAAATTTTGGTCATTTATAAATAACCTGTGATCAAATGACCTAGATTATTTATAAATGACTGAGGTCATTATAGTTATTAGGTCATTTGGTAACAAAGTTTTCAAAATTCAGATACGACGACCAATAAAATTTGTCTATTTAATATAGATTTTTTGCCTACCTAAATTACACTGCAAATTGCTTTAATCAAAGTTATTTATTTTGTGCCCTGTTTGTATGTATATGTTGTACCTCAAATGATAATCCTGTCCTAATTGCCAATTGTGACAGCTCAAATTAAAATTGCCCAAATCTAACCTTAACATCTGGGCTAATTAATTTATAATTTTGGCCAGATTATCATCTAGGAAAATTGTCATTTGAAGCACGACATATATACAATAATAAGATACGTATATACGTATATACATATATATATATATATTATGACATAATAGATTAACTATTAAATGCAGTTTATTTGACATATTATCAGATGATGTACAAAATATATATGTACATACGTAATAAATTTGTATGTATTTGTATGATTGTAAAGGGATAGAACAGTAGTTAGTAAGAGATTCAGATTTTTCTAATCCAACTATGAAATAATTGCTTTTACGAAATTAGAAGTTAATTATCAAGGCATTAATGAAAGTTGTTGAAAGAGCATCTTAAATCAAATAAAAGGGTTAAATTATGCAATGCGAAAAATAATGATAATAATAATAACATGAGTATTAATACTAATTTTATTATTATATGAATATGCAAATTAAGTAAGGCAAACATGAAAAGTAATGCAATTTATTTATCGATAAAATTATCAGAACCAGAACAATCAGGATTTTTTTCTTGATATAAAGAAGCGGACTTGTACATGAGAAATTTCTATTGCAAATACAATCAGATCTTTAAGTAGATATGGGCATAAGCTCATTAAATCATATAATATAGAAGAATAAAATTAGTAATAAACAAAAAGAAAGGCAAAAATATAAATGAAAACATTACCTAATAGGCAGCAGGTGGGTACTTGTTTAATGAAGCTTCACCATAAATATTTATTTAAAAAATTTTATACATGAAAATACAAACAAAATAAATGATTATTCTATTTAAAGAGGAACACCTTGCACTAAATATTTATAAATAAATATTGTTTGTTATTTTTTTATACTGAACTTTACGATGGATAAAAAAAATATAATTTTCAAGAATTTTTTCATTTGGTCACACCTAATAACCCAAAAGCGAACAAAAAGGCAGTATGTCTTTCATGTATGTGAAAATATACCCTACCTGTTGCTCTTACCAAACCTGAGTGCTTTGTATCTAATAAAGCGAAATTATATTGGGGCCATCTTCAAACTTGTGAAAATTTTAAGGCAGATTATAACAAGAATGAACTTTTGGATATTCTTGCACAATTGGTTCCTGAAGATGCTAAAAAAAAGGATAACAAAGGTAAGACTAAACCATATGTTTAAGCAATTATTTATTGTTTAATACATTATAATATTTACTTTCATAGCAGATGAGGTAGATTCTGAGTCTGAAGATGATGAAATATCAACAACAAACTTGCCTACTTTGACAAACCAACCTTCCTTAATGTCAAAATACAAAAACCATTTACCAATTATATTTTATGCCCATTGTCTGATAAAGATAAGTTGCATTTTAAAAATTTGGTATTATGTATGGTTGTGTCAAACGGCCTTCCTTTTACTTTTATAGAAAATCAAGAAACAAAAGATCTTTTTAATTTTATTGTGCCAAGTTTAAAGCTACCTAATTGTCGAGCAATAAGTGACCAAATTCTTCTGAAAATTTCCAAAAATTTAAATGATGAAATTTTATAAAAATCATGTGCAGATAAAATTGGAGTAACCACAGTTTTTGATAGCTGGACAAACATTAAGCAGGAATACCTTTTTGGTGTTGTTTTGATCACTTCTAAGAATAAACCTTTGATTTGAAATGCATGTGATATTAGCAATCAATGATCAAAAACTGAAAATGTAAAACTTCTTATCAAAAATATAATGAATAATGTGGAAGAAAAAGGTATAAAAATAAACTATTACGTATCAGATTCTGCTGGCAAGTAAACAAGTTTGTAATTATTATTACAATAATTGTTTTTTTTTATACAGATGGCAGCTTAGAGTTGAATATCCTGATAAAATTTTTATGCCTTGTATAGTACACCAATTCAATTTAGTTATTGGTGATATTTTTAAAAAATCGGTGATATATAAAAAAGTATCAAAAAATGTAATATGTGTTGTTAGCTTTTTTCACTCATCTTCATATTTTACCAGTTTATTGAGAAATGAGCAAATGTCATATTATAGACAAACTATTTCTCTTGTAACCCTCGCTGAAACTCGATAGAACAGTTTTTATTTTTGTTTTCATTCCATATTAAAAACCAAGATCGCACTTAAAGTAAATAAAAAAAAAATATTTTTTATTGACAAATATTTTAGTGTTTAGAACAAATATGCTAAATCTTCAGTACTATTTTAGTTAAAACTAAATATTTTAACCAGTAGTATATAATAAACTTCAATTAGACATTAGCCACAAAACTTTTACCAATAAGAATCAGAACCGTTAGTACTTCTCGAAGTGGATTTTCAAGACAATGATTCATATCTGAAGATACCAATGCAAGAAAAGGTGTTTCCGCAAGATATTATATTAATCTTATAAGACTCTAATTTTTGGAATCATCTTTATGAACTTCAAGATTTATTGTTTCCTTTGTGTGACATGTTAAATAAACTTCAAAA